GTGACGCGAGGGCGGGGCGAACTACCACTCCCAGAAGCCTCTGCGGGCGCTCCCCCCGGCGCCGGGCGGCTCCAGCCGAGCGCTGCCGGAAGGGGGCGCTGCGGCGCGAAGCGCAGGCTCCCGGGCCCCATCCTGCGCGCGGGCACTAAACCAATCCCGAGAATCAGAAAACCGACCGAGGGAGCGCATCTCGGGAGGGGAATGAATTGAGGTAGAAGTGTGCTGAGGTCCCTGCTTTCCGAATGGTAGAAGCTCGAAATTACAATTTAATGACGCAAAGATTCATTGCGTTATGTAAATGACATTTTTACGAAAGTTAAATTTATTTTCCGGAAGAACAGGAGTGGCGTTCTTTTCCTACTTTGCGGGGGAGGGTCGGGGAGGAGGGCCTGTGGAGGACTCTTGCAAGCGCCGGGCTTAATGCAAAACAGCTAGATTCTCATATGTGCGTCTGCATTCAATATATTGCATCTTTGCTTCTGTGGAAGTACATTTTTTAAAAATCTGGCCTTACATAGGTATGTAGATGGAACAGGACAGGGTATTTTAATAGACTCAGATAATTGTGCATCTTCTTCCTAGTGAAAGCTGAACAAGGGATAGGTCAGTTGCAGTGTACGATCTGAAACCACACGGGCGAACTTCTATTATATTAAAATCCATTGGTCTACCTTGTACTTTGAATGGACAGTTTTATCATGGATGATTTTGTAACGTCATGCATTGGTCATTATCAAAATGCTGGTTCACTGACTAATGCAGATCCTCCAAATGTTGATACCTTTCATAATACAGTATGAAAACTCGTATTCATTATTATCATGGATCTTAAGTTTTGGGAATCTATGTTCTCAGTGGCAGATACAAGATTTCCAAAATTCTGTTTTCACTTACATTGGCAAAAAATGTTGTCTTTTGTTTTCCTTGAAGTGACAGCTCACTTGGTTGATTTTTGAGAAAAAGTCCTTTCATGCAAACCTCAACTCCCAACTTAGATCATCACACAAGTACTTTTTCTGGAGACAGCTAAGGAATTTCACTGCAGCACATAATGTATGTTGCACAGATATTAAAAACACATGGCTCAAGAGATGAGATGCAATAAAATTATTTTTCACTGTTCCATCGAGGACAACCAGAAGTGAAATTGGTCCTTCCCTTTTTTTTTTTTAACTGTGAATGTGACAATGAAGAACACAATGCCTACTAACAAGTACACTTTGGTGCTACCACCCTGATGCATCTGAGTGCCCACAGATGCACCCCTATTGCTTTTGCACCATCAGTGCAAATTCATCACAATGAGTGACGTCTGAAGTTTGGGAACACCAGTACTTATTGTAAAATTCTTTCAAATTTTCCATATCTTTCAAATTTTTCATAATAAAATATTGGAGGAAAATATTGTAGAAAAGGCAAACTTTTCAACGATTTGTGTAGGAAAATGAGATAGCTATACAATAACAGAAAAAAGATTGCTGTCTCAGAATGCATTTAAAATAAATCCTAAATAGATTAAATATTAAATGTGGAAAGGAAGGCTCTAGAAGTTTTAGGTTGAAAGGTAGAATTAGCATCCTTTGCACACTGATTTGTCAACCAATCTCTGTTATGTACTAAGGTCTCATGCTGTGTTAGTTTCCTCACTGCTACAACAAACTTGGTAGCTTAAAACAACACAAATGTATCATCTTACAGTTCTGAAGGTCAAGGTGCGACTCAGGTCTTTCTGGGCTAAATCAAGGTGTTGGCAGGGCTGCGTTTCCCCTCTGGGGGCTCTTGGGGGAAGTTGTTTCCTCACCTTTTCCAAATTTTAGAGGCCACATTCATTTCCTGGCTCCCAGCCCCGGTCTTCCAGCTTCAAAACCAGCAAGAGAGGATTGAGTCTCCTCACACCGCATCACTCTGGCCTCCTTTTCTGCCTCCCTTGTCCACTTTGAAGGGCTCATTAGGCACACCTGGACCATCTGAGCTACTCTTTCTATTTTCAGGTCTGCTGCTTAGCCAACTTAGTTCCCCTTTGCCAAGTAAGGTAATGTATTAATAGGTACCAGGATTAGGATGTGGACATCTTTCCAGAGCCATTATCTGCCTGCCATGTGTCTGTGAGTCTGTTTCCTGCCTCTTCGTTTTGTCCCACTGATATATGCCCATAATGGGCATCTGCAGATCTTTTCTGTAAAAGGCCAGTGTATTAGTTTTCTAGGAGGGCCATGATAAAGTGCCAGAGGGCAGCTTAAACCACAGAACTGGATGTTTCCACAGTTCTGGAGGCTGAAAGTCAGAGATAAAGGTGGCAACAGAGTTGGTTTCTTCTCAGGCCTCCCTCTTTGGCTGGCAGGTGGCCATCTTCTCCCTGTGTCCTCACTTGGGCATCCCGGTGTGCAGGTCAGTGTCCTAGTCTCCTCTTCTTACAAGGACACCAGTCGGATTGGATTAGGGCCCAACCTAATATCCTCATTTGTTATTTATTATTTTACTGACGTGTGGGTAATTTACAATGTCGTATTCATTTCAGGTGTTCAGCAAAGTGATTCAGTTACACATACACTATATATATATTCTTTTTCAGATTCTTTTCCATGATACATCTAATATCCTCATTTTACCTTAAAATGTTTAAACTTCAAAGACCCTAAACAGTGACACTCTGAGTTATTGGGGATTAGGACTTCAACACAGGAATTTTAGGGGAAACAAGTCAGCCCCTAACAATCACCAGTAAACGTGTTAGGTTTTGTGATGTCTACAGCCAGGAGGAAGTAAAAACAGCAGCTGGCCGAAAAAAAAAAAGGTCTGTCATAACTACTGAGCTCTGCCACTGTATCACAAAGGCAGGAATAGATAAAACTACATAAAATGAGCATGAATGTTCTAGTAAAACTTTAATCACAAAAGCAGACAGCTGGCCAGATTTGGCCTGTTGTCCATTGTTTGCCAACTCCTGGTCCACACGGTGCTAATACAGCTTCTCTTGTTATTGTATCATTACAGCAAGCCTTGTAAGTAGTAGATCAAAACCCTTTTCCATTGTGGTCCTTCACAAAGGCCTCGGTTATTTTTAATCCTTTGGTCTTGCATGCACATTTGGGGCTCTGACTGCCAAGGTCCATGTAAAAGCCTTTGCCACCGAGGGTAGTATCACTAAGATGTATTTCCACGGGACCCTGATTCAGTATGGCCTCATCTCCAGATCCATAACTAATTACATCTGCAAAGACCCTATTTCCAAATAAGGTCCCTTTCCTAGGTTCTGGGGGTCAGGACGTGGATAGAACTTTGGGGCAGACCCCCATTCAACCCAGTACAGCAGCCCAGTTCCCAGACACCGGTCGAGGGCATATTTGCTGGCTGGCAGTGTTCCGTTTTCTGTGCAGAGGTGTCTTTGATTTCTTGCTGCAACTCAGTGGGCAGAGGGGACACTACTGGCTGACCTTTTGGTCTTTCCAGGGACCTTGTCAAGGCATCCTCCCCGGGAGTGTGGAAGCACGGCCAGGGCTCCCTGTACATACTCTATGCCTACCCCACAGTAGTCAGACACCTGCTCAGGCTGGGCATCCCCAACAGGCTGGAGGGGTCCCTGGACCACTGCACCTTCCACCGCATTGACAGCCTGCCACGCTGTGTGCAGGCCTATGACCGTGGTGTGGACATGGACCTTACAGTCCTGCCGTGGACATCCCCACCCCACTAGCCCCCAAGAGGTCTGCTGGGAGGGGTGAGAAGCTGGCCATGAAGAAGACAGAGCTGGACCTAACCTCAGCAGATGTAGGCAAGTATGGGGCTGCCCAGGCTGTGGGTGTCTGGGCTGTGAGGGTTCCAGCTTGAGGTGGCCACCCCTGCATGCAGCAGGGCTCACCCGGGGGGTCACCGCAGGGAGAACAGGCCTTTGGGTGATTTTCCAACTCTCCCCACTCCCAGACCCAGACCCACCCCCTGCCCCATTAACAGCCTTTAGATGGTGTTTCTCACCCAAACGCCTGCCCTGGGAGAGGGCTTTAACATTGCGTCGGGGTTGTTGACTGAAATAAATGCACAGAGGGCACCACCACTGTAAGTGCCTGCAGAGGCTGGGCTGCAGGCTTGTCTTCATTGGGGGGGGTGGCAGCAGTAGCTGATGACTTGATGGTTTCAGCATTCTATTGTTTACTGATATGGTCTGCAGTATTTTTCTGTGCACACAGCATTTATCACAATAGCAAAAGGTGGAAGCAACCTAAATTTCCATCAATGGATGAATAAACTAAATGTGATGTTCACACAATGGGACACTACATAGCCTTAACAACTAAGGAATTATGACACATGCTGTAATGTGGATGAACCTTGAAGTCACTATGATACATGAAATAAGCCAGACACAGAAGGAAAAATGTTACATGATTCCTCTTATACAAGGTATCTAGAGAAGCCAAATTCAGGGACAGAAAGAATGTCATTGCCAGGGGCTGAGGGGAGTTAGTGTTTAATAGATACAGAATTTCACTTGGGGAAAATGTGTACATTCTGGAGACAGATGGTGAGATGCATGTGAGATTCCACGTACACCTCTCAAGCGAATAGTCTCCCTTTCCCCCAGCCCCATGAGGCTCCCGGAGCCAAGCATCCCCGGCCTTCAAAACCAGGTGTCCTGGGGTCTCCTTCTCCCGATGCCAGAACCCGAGCTGGGGAGCCTGACGTGGGGCCCAGAGCTCTCACTCCTGTGGAGGGCCCCTGTGACACAACAAACCTTCAGCCTGTATGTCACCCACTCTAGGGGCACAGGGCCCAACTGTATCACGAGAATACTCCTCCTACCATCCTCTACGGTTCCCTCTTCACGTTTCCAGTTGCAGAAGATCTTTTTTGCTAGGTTCCAGGCCTTTTTTGATGGTTGTTTAGCCTTCAGTTGAGGTTTCGTTATAGTCACGAGGAGAGGCAAGATCATGGTCTTACCACTCCGGCATCTTCAGGAATCGATTGGGTACAGAGTTTTACTTGGGGAAAATGAATAACTTCTGGAGATGGATATTGAGGGCATTTTCACAGCAATGGAAATGTAGTTAATGCCACAAAACTGTATATTTTAAATGGTTTAAATGGTAAATGTCATTTTATGCATTTTTAATCACAATGAAAAGTGTAAATGAAGCACTAATAAAACATGTTACTATTTGGATGAACATTGAAAACATTGTACATGAAAGAAGCCATACAGAAGAGGCCATTGAGCTGCTGCTCATCTTGTGCGCTTCAAGTCCCTCAAGGTTTTGAAAACAAGGGAAAGTCTCAGCAAAGGTATCAGAAGAAGAAAACTGGATCAGAATGGGAAAAGATATTTTCATAAGTTGGGGCAATAGGGAAGGTTGAAATGGGCCTGAGAGTGCAATTACAAGGTGGAACCAGTAAACCTCCTTATTTGGGGCTTTGTGCTGGATCCCGAGGAGATTATTCCAGTCTGGGGTAAAATATACTAGAGAACTTTGTGTCAAATGTGAGTACTCTGTACTGCTATTTAAAGTGTCAACAAAAATAATCAATAAACAATCAATAGTAAGAATAATAAAGGTTTATATTTGAGCCAAACTGAACACTAGCCTGCAGCCCGCCTCCCAGATGACTCTGAGGTGCTGCTCCAGAGAAGCAGGGTTTCCAACACAGTTTCGTATCTTGTCAGAACAAAGAACATTAACAAGTCTGGGATCCATTTCTTCAAGGTTTCAAAGAAAAGCAGGTCAGCACATTCACGGCGAGTCAGCGTGGCCTCGGCACGTGGGAGGGGTCTCAGCGCCAGCTGAGTGCTAGCGTGGGTGTCCAAGGAATGGAGGCGTTTAATCTTTATTTTAAACATGGACATTCTTTACTTCTGGTCAACGTGCTCTTTTCTTTAATAATTAAAGAAGATATACAGTGCGTGTTTGATGGGCCGCAGACAGGCTGTTTTAGTTAGCATGAAATTCAAGGTCACTCATGGGTAAGCCAGAATGACTTCTCTTTATCTCAGTGTTAGCACTGCGACCTGGTAAAAAGGTCATTTCCACGGGCGTAAGTGTCCTCCTCAGTCTTAAACGCCCTATTTGTTTACAAAAATTTGAAATAAAATAATGACCTTTGAGGTAAAAGAACACAGTGTATTTATTTTTACAGTGAATTGAGTGCCCGGTAGCCGTCAGCGTCCAGGGCAGAAAATGAAGTCCATTCCCTACACGGAGGTTTGCACCGTGGAAGCAGCGAGTCTCACCGGTGCCCTGATTCCAGCACACTCGGTCGCGGGTAGTGGAACTTGGGCGCTCATTCTGTTCCTCCTCAACAAATGCCACATTTTACTACTTGGCTTCCACAAATAGAAACTCATTTTCAGTGTTAATTTTTTTAAAAAAATATATTGTTAGTATTTTGTTCCTCTATTTCAGAGAAGTGAAAAATGACCACTGGCTCAGGAAGTATCCGAGGATTTACTGTGTGCCTCCAGCCCTCTCAGGCAGGGGAGTGAGATTAGGATGGCTGGAGCTTAGGAGGGTGGAGTGGAAACCATCAAATTTTCCTAGTGCTGTTTCAAGTTTATTTGCCAAAAGCTCAGAGGAAAAAAGCCTCTCTTCTATGTCCTTTTGTAAATATGCTTAGTCTTCCTTTGCTTTATTAATGTCCTGGCTGAGCTAAAATAGCGCAATAAACAAGGAACACGTGTGAGGACTCCACGTACTCCAGACAGTGACGACCCCCGTGGCAGAGGTCGAGGAGTGTGCACCGCAGAGCAGGTCCCAGTGTGAGGCGTGTGCTTTGCGGCCTGGTTGTGTCCCTAATGTGCTGCTGAATGTCCAGGTGGCTGTGGTCCTTTGTTTTCTTTAGGGAACAGCACCTAACCTGCAACATTGCTGTGCCATATTTTTGAAAGAATTTGAAGATACAACCGGGAGAGTGACTAAAATGACTTAGCACAGAATCTAACAATACGAGAAGTGACCAGGAAGGGAGCTGATATATGGGGAGAAGGCGTAAAGGCCCAGAAGAAAGGCCAAGAATGCCGGTGAGCAAGGGTCATGTCAAGATGAGAGCCCAAAGGATTTAGGTTATGTCAGGAAATGGGGCGTTCACTTCTCTTATTTGCAAAGCAGATTTCCTCCAGTGTAGACTGTGTCAAGCGTGTGGCAAGATAACAGATGAGCAGTGGGACATGGAGGAGAAGGTCTTTGGTGACCAAGAGCTTAACACCCTAGGAAGGAGAATGCTGCGTGGAGACCCTGAAGTCAGTCAGAGGGTGGATGGTCATAGGGAAGGGACATGGACCATGACTCAAAGGAACAGTCTTCAGTGACTGAGGAGAAGGAATCGAAGATGAGGTGAGAGATGCAGATGAGACCACCAGGCTGTGCCCCTCCCTGCGTCCAAGCCAGCGGTGTCCCTACATCCACACCAGCAGTGATGGTAAACCTCCCCACCTCCCCGTCCAGAAGAGAAATCTCTTCCCTCCCCCTGGAATCTATGTTGGTCCTGCTGCTGTGTCAGTGGGTGTGCGGAGTGTGGGGAGACGTGTGTGGAGCGTGGGCAAATGATACTTTGGAGCCTCAGCCTCGATAGTCTTGGCTGCCTCCAAAATTGTTCCCTCGTGGTTCTTCCCAGCACCTCTGAGCCAGCCCAGGCTGCTCTACCACACAGAGATGGAGACCACACAGAGCAGAAATATGCTGTCTCATCTGAGGGCAGCCTGGTCTAGCCAGCCCTCAGGCAACCTGGAGGCAGGAATAGTCCAGCTGAGACCAGAAATAAAACCCAGTGGAGCACAATCCAAATTGCCGCCCTGCAGAATTATGAGTTGTGTACATAGGGGTTGTTTTAGGCCATTAAGGTTTAGGTCAGTTTGTTAATCAGCAAAAGCTAACATGCGAGGAAATGACTGTGACAAGGAAGAACAGAAAACAGCATAGCTGAATGGCATGAGCCTCAAAGAGGTCTTTTCATTGAAGGTACAGTTTACCACAGTTGGTCTAACAGGTTGTGAGAGGCACCTCGGTATTTGACGGCATTCCCCCCCTCTTATGCTGGACGCTAGGGGGCGTGTAATGAAAATAAAAACTAATACGGGATGTAGATTTTGGGGAACTCCAAATGCATGTTCAGTTACACAATCACTCATTAAAATTTAAAACCAGTTCTTATATGTTCTATATAGTTAGAATGATATTTATGAGAAAGAAAGTAATGTCTGTTTAGCAATTATCTGCACTGGCCTCTGGGTACAGATTTCCAAATTGGCCCTGTTCCCTCCAAGTGATTATTCCTCTGAGCTGGCCGCTCATAGCGTGCCCTCGCTCCTGCCAGTGCTGACTCTGCCTGATACTGGAAATATGTCTCACCTTCACCTCCTCCGCCTGGTGCCTGGCTCAGTGCTGCACATATACAAGCATATTCAGCAAGACATTTATGATTTACCTTTAAAATAAGCATGTGAGAAGTATTCACTTTAAAAGTAAGTTGAAAATTTATAAAGTAGTGAACATACTTGAAACAAACAAGGCAATTTCAATCCAAATCTTAAAACAAACATCCTGTCTTGTTTGGTAGAACTACTTTAGCATTGATGATGAAAGACAGGACATCGATGACCGAGAAGTTATTTCTACTTGATATATTTCATTCTCTAGAGTCTGTCATTCCCTGTACAAAGTACCTCATCACGCCACTAAATATATGGTACCTGAACTTTTCTCAGACTATCTGATTATTAGTGCAATGAAGTAAAATTAGCCACAACCCATCTTTCCTTTCTATGCCCCCTGCTCCCTGCACTTCTGAAGCCAATTGAAGCCAATCCCTGGCAGATTAGGACTCATGAATGCCATGTATAACGTCACCTGCAAACTCAGGACACCCAGAACAATACCCAATCCTGGAAGAACAGGAAGGCCCTGCCTCTAGACTGGATGCGCCACACGAGCACACTGAGGCAGCAGCCTTCTCCGAGATGTGCTTTCTCACACAGCACTGTCGCAAGCTGGTCCACTTCCGTGCACACGGCTTCTTCTACCAGGGCAAGAAGCTGATTAATATCCTTCCACAGGCAGTAATCCATAGCTCCTTTTTATTTGATCTCATTAAGGAATTTCAGGTAATGTATAGTTAGCCTCCCTCATCAGACCATCCACACAAAAAAAGAGAGAATATAGTCACACTGTCTCCTGTAGTCTGCTTGTCGCTTCTCTACTTGGAATGTGTCATCTGCTTCTTCCTTTACTCTTTAAGTCCTGGTTGACAAATGTCACAAGCTCTGCCTCATGTGAATTTATCTCCACCCCCAACCCCCCACCCCACCTGCCTAATCCGCAGGCCTGATAGCTCATCACACAATTATCCACCCCAAAGAGGCTGTGCTGTCTGTGATTCTCAAGGGAAGTCAGCAGCCTGGAACACAACAATCTCCAAGTATGCGGATACATTATTTAAGATTGTAAAATATTAATCAAGTAAGAAAACACAGCAAGTCTCACTAATGCCGATGCTGTGGGCAAGATGGTTCTGGGACAGGACCAGACGTGCAGCAGTCTAGAAGCAGGCAGCAGAAGAGAAAGGAGAGGAAGAGGTAACAACGTCTGACAGCTTTGCTTTGTGCCAGACTCCGTCCGTGCAAAAACCAACCTTTCCTACATTTGGGAATGAAGCCTCAGAAAGATTAAATATGTGCTTGCCCAGCAAGGCTCCAAACATTGCTCCGTCTAACCCTCATCCACACACCATTGTCTTTCCCTTTATCGCCTGTTAGTACACTGAAGCACACATTTGTGTACTTTTGGAAAATGTGTTCAGAATCACTTTAGGGATAAATAAAAAAGCTTTGATAAAGAAAGTACCTAGGCCTCCCCTTGGACTTTGTCTCCTCAGGCACTGAGCCAAGCTCAGGAGGTGATTTTCCTTATTTCATGATAACCTTGGGAGTGCAGGCTGATGACATCATGGGCGTCTTCCATCCTTGTGCTCTGGCTTGAATTTGCTTCCATCTGAGGCCACTAGTAGGTCAAGTTTCCAATCTTCAGACTTCCCATTTTTAGCAATAAAGACCAAGTTTTACAATGTCTATTTTGTTCAAGTTCTTCCCTGAGATAATCCAACACCTAGGATGTCTGAATGACTAGAATTGCTTAATCCCGCAGATCAAATAAAACAAAAAAGTTTCTCATATTTTTAGGCACAACCTATTAATTTGTTGGTTTGGGCTCCTTGGAGTTGTTCAAATAAACTATTTATTTGGCCTTAAGTTGGAATACAAGTAAAATCATCTCCAGGATAAAGTTCTTAAGAAATTAAAAAAAAAGTAAATTTATGACATGATCAAGTACATAAAGTAGAAGTTTAGAATAACATTGACTATATATATGTATATATTTAAAATCAGAGACGTTGTGAAAATGTTCAGGTAAGATGCTAACCTGCTTGGTTACTGTTATCATTATGGACCTTGTTCATTTTTCTTGATGTAGTTTAAAGCTTGAACAAATTATTTTTCCATTAGAATTGAACATTAAAATTATTACACATTGGAAAATAAGCATAATACTGATGTGCAGCTAGTTCATTTTTTACTCACATAAAAAATCTATTTTTTTTTGCCTTCTTTTCTTACTCTTTTTTTTTTTTGTATTTTTTGGTGCCAGTTAGTATTTCTAGTTTATGATGTGAACAAAAAAATAAGATTTAAATTTACAATGTCTTCTGCCTTGTTAACAGCTTTTGTGAGGTATTTGAACATTTATACAAAAATGAGATTTGGGATATTTAGTGAAAGTAATTAATTCATGTAGTCTTTGCCTCCAGGTCATTGGATTTGTACAAAGCTGGTTATAAATGTAGAATATTTGCTTGCTATTCTCAAAGGAGTATGGCCCTAATTAACCAAAACATAGTGTTATTATACTTTTTGGACACATTTTCCCTATGTATTGAGTTTTTCTTTAGCAATTTTGCAATACTTAATGTTGCAAATCAAGATAAAAGAAGAGAAATATAGTCTTCTTTTTCTCCAGTGCACTTCACCTGACAAAGCAGAAATCAGAGCCCCCCAAACAGAAAGGTGGCCACATGCTGGAAAGAAACGTGAGAAACTGAACTGTCAAATCCTCTATTTCAAGTGTTCTTCAGCAAACATTGGTCATCAATCATGTTCTAAAACAGAATGAGGGCACAAGAAACATTCAGGGAAAACAGCATTTTTCCACATTAATGTTTTCCGTTTTATTTGTGGCACAGTGCCTTATATAGATTGTTGGTGTTCATTTTAACCACAAAATTCACCATTCTAAATGCAGACTACTCTACTTAAAGTGATCATGTATTGAATATCAGATAGCAAATTGCCCAGGACTATGTTCAGTATCTGAAGAGATGAAGAGGGTAATGTTGCCTTTATGAAAATTGAATTCTATTTACTAGTTCATTCACTTATTCATTTACTTACTCAGTCCTGAATACAAGAAATATTTTAATCTTTTACTCTGTGCTAGGCTTTTTATTAGGTATTGAGCATTAGAAAATGAATTAAAATACTATATTTCCTCAAAAAGATCAAATATTCCATTCGCAGTCACTCTCCATCCGAAGGGCTGTGCTGAATGTCAAGTGAAAAAGTTACCAGAGTTCCAATTATCCATAAAGAACAACTCATTGTTATTCCCACAACATGTCTAGCTTAATCAGCACTCAAGTCTTAAAGCTGTCAGGCAATATTAATTTCAGTGAGATCTAGAAAGGAGCTCAGACCTAAAAATCCTGCTTGAATATAAAGAACCTCTCTGTCTCCCTACTTCACTATTGGAAATGCTTTGTTATTGTTGGAAAATGACTTAACCTCATAGAAAACAAATGTCTATTGCCATCATGGAGCCCAGCTAAACTTTCCATTAATTCCCTACTTCGGGCCATTAGTAAAATTAAGAGAAAAAGGATAAAGGTGAGTTGAAGAGAGCTGGGTTTTCATTTTCTGGTCACTAAAAAAAAACAAAACAAAACAAAAAACAACCTTGTGTTTTTATAAGAGACTATTTATAACTTATATGGCTATTTTGAAGGTAGGATTTAACTTGCAACCATGACAGCCAACATCAAGTTTTCATGTTGGGCGTGTAAAGGAAATGGCTTTTGTAGTGCTGTAGATTTTTATTTTCAGGCTATAATGTATAATTTTTTGATATTTAACTGTTATTTTAAACACGTTTAGGTTTCCAGAAGAAATGCCTTATCACTACAAAGGGTAATTTACCTCCATTTTTTCCTTTTGTTATTTTTCTTGAAATGGTTTTTGATGGATGAAAATGATTAAATAGCCTATTTAGTTGTAGTTGCACTACTAAATTGTATGAAGCATTCTTTTTAAAAAGTTCTGTCCTCACCTGGGGGAATGATGTCAATTTCTAATTATTGCCTAAAAAGGAAAGAGTAATGATACTTGAAAACTTCTGTTCCTAGACTGGTAAACAGCTTTACCAGGTGTCTAAATCTAACTCTGAAACGAAATCAAATGAATAAAAACAGTTTTATTGAAGGATTATGGGAAGATGACAAACAGTAACAGGGTAAGAGTGAGGACAGAAGCAAGCACCTATAAGCAACACCTACAGAAAACCTAGGTGACGAGAGTTTCTCCTGAGCCTAAGAACACAAACGGCCCACAGCTGCACCGCCTTTCAGTGGCATCGTCTACATGGGTAAAGGCAGAAAAAGGAATCTGTGCTTCTAATGGCCTTGAGAACAGCAGAATGATAAAATTGCCAGGAGGCACAACAAATCAATCTGAAAACACAGACAACTGTGGAAGGGGCTTCAATAGTATGCAAATTCCAAGTTTGTGCACAGGGACAATAAAGGATATCTGATGTTGCTGGAGCACGTGGACTTTAGAAACTATCAAATGTAATCTCTTTTCCAAGAGAACAGAAACTGCTGGGGTTGAACGCAGATTGATCAGGGTAGGGATAATGGTCAAAGGAGAGAAGTTTCAGATAAAAGTGTTGCAGTGGGAATCAAATTTCACAAAAGCATTGTGTCGTGTTTTAGCACTTCCTCAAGTAAAACTTAAGACAGGGAGCTCTTGAAACATAAAGGTAGAAATGATGTCTGGGTCCATTCGTCCCTTCTGAAAGTAGAGGAAAACTCATTTCATTGAAACAATGGTCCACAGAAATGGATTTCAGTTAAGTCCCATATAAATTTATTATATAAGGAAAAGAGAATGAGTAGAATAATTTTTTTTTGGCAGACAAAGCAGAAAAGCATATTTTTTTAAATAGTGAAAACTGTAACCTAGTATTTTTAAGTGATCCCAAAGAACTCAAGAAAATATTAAAAGTTACTTAAAAACATGAAAAATAATTAGAAAAACTCATAATAATCTGCTTGAAGAAAAAGGAGACTTGAAAAAAGTGGTAAAAAATTAGAAAAGTACCTAGAAAGAAATAAAAATAAATTTCAGAAGTGAAAATGGAACTACAAGTCACTTGAAATGAAATACAGCAGATAATGCCTAAAGAGACATATGAAGAGAAGGAAAGTTTTTAAAACTGAAAATAAAGAGTTTGATAAAAGTGCTAAAAATAAAAGATAGACAAACAAGGTCTAGCATGTGTCCAATACAAGACTCCGGAGAAGAAAAATAAAACAGTTATTAAGGATAAATGCTAAAAATTGTAATTCAAGAAAACTTACCAAAAATAAAAGAGAATTTGAAAACTCACATTGAAAGGACACCCTGTATTCCTGGGATATTTGTCTATTAGTGCCAACACTGAGAAATGCTATGGTAAAATAATTAAACTTCAAAGAGAAACCAAACAGAATCCTTTGGTATTGTAGGTAAAAAAGACCAAACTAGTCAAATATGAAAGAAAATCATATTGTTACCATTCTTTTTAACATCAAATCCAGAATTCAATGGTGCAGCATATTTAAGATACTCATAGAAAGAAATTGTGTGCTTTGGTTTTATATTTAGACCAACTGTTAGGAAAGAAGTGTTATGAAATTGCAAATATCATTACATAAGTAACCAAGATGCTGTGCTGCTGGCATAAACACAGATACATTAAA